CTCAGGCTTTGAACTGTCTGTCACTCCCTTAGTCAGATGACCCCAATCTTCTCCATATTCATGTTAATACAAACCTCAGGCTTGTCTGGATCAGAGGTTTCTTTTGGCTCTAGTGCCAGATCTGCCAATGATTTGCAGTATGACCTTGGGCAAGTCACTTTCCTTCTCTGGGCTTTAATTCCCTTATCTTCATAATGATGGTGAGCTCCTTCCTGTCCTACATTCTATGGTCTTAAAAAAAAAAAGGTAGGTACTAGAATAATAAGGCCTATCTACTGAGCACTTATCTGCTGAGCACCCTCTCACATTGCCTTTTAATCCTTGCAACACTGGGAGGTAGGTATTATTATTGATCTATTTTATAGGGAAGAAACCAAGGCTCAGAAGGCTTAGTAGTTACCCAAGACCTCAGAGTAAGTGATACAGTTTGGATTTGAATGTAGATTTGTCTCTCTGAGTTTGGAGACAATGCTGTTTTTTGTTTGTTTGTTTGTTTGTTTGTTTTTTAAGTGATGGGGTCTTGCCATGTTGGCCTGGCTAGGGTGCAGTAGCTATTCACAGGCGCAATCACAGTGCGCTACAGTCTACAACTCCTGGGCTCAAGCAATCCTCCTGCCTCAGCCTTGTCGACCCAAGTAAATGACTGACGCAAAAATCTCAATGAATGGAGGTTTATTAAGCCAAAGTTGAGGATGTGCCCCAAGCTGTGGCTGTTTTTTCCAAAGGGGAAGTTGGAATCTTCAGCTTTTAGAGGTATGTAGAAAGAAAGGAAAATGTGGTGGTTAGTTGGGGGGGGGGGTGGACTGATGAGGCAAACTTGTTACATTCTTGTGAAGCCAGGAAATTTACATTTTACATAAAATAAGGAGAATGTTGGGAGAAAGAAACAGAATGGAGGAAGCATCAATTAGGTGGTTGCAGTTGGGTAGCTGGAAGAATATCCGATTCTGTCTCTATTCTATCATCTAGTTCTGTTACCTGTAGAAATAAACTTGTTATTTTTTTTTCTTTTATTTCATCATATTATGGAGGTACAAATATTGTTAGGGTTACAAATATTGCCCCTGCCCCCCCTCCCTCCCCTCGATGTGTCCAGTCCCCTGGTCGTGTGCACCACACACGTTATGAAAGCATACACCCCTTTCCTCCTCCCCCTCCCACCTGCCCACCACCCAATACAAAGTTTTGTGTTTTTTTTGACATTTTGGTTACATTGTATATCTTTGCCTCTCCCTAAGAAGGGTTAGGGTTATGCCCTTCCCCTCCAAAATGCTTGCCACATCCCTAACATTGGGTCCCCCCCAATCCTTGGTGAGCATCGCCACCATTTGAAAACCAAACTCGTTTTTATTAGTGTGCAATCAGCAGGCTTTAGTTTTAGGTGTTAGACACAGTTACAATTTGCATGTCCTTGTTTATGGGAGGTCAGTAGGGAATTTCCTTAATGAATGATCTGTGGGGCCAGCTCTTCACAGGTGCACAGGGCTTTATCTTCTGTTTTGCAGTAGGAGGTGGGGACAGGGGTGGCCCCGAGGCTTTGATTTCATTTCTACAGCCTTCCAAGTAGCTGGGACTACAGGTGTGTACCAGACCACCCAGCTTGGTTACAATGCTTTTAAAAACATTTCAACTGTGTCCCTAGGAGCCAGCTCAGGCTGCTGCTGATTCTCCATGGTTACTTCCACATGTTCAAGAACATACGTACTCTCATGGGAAGGAAATCTGTGCTCACATGACCCACCTCAGAGGACCCAATAACATTTCTAACAGGCTTGCTAAAACCAGCCTCAGGACACCAGGCCACCTGGTCCAAGTCCTCATGGCTGCGTAGAGTGGACATGTGACTGGTTCTCTGTGACTTCCAGTAGAATGAATGCTCTTTGTACAACCCCGGAGTTGCCTCTTCACTTTCTTTCCTTCTTGTCCTAGCTGATCCGCCTCATGTACTCAGCCATTTCACACTCAGACAGTCATGTAAGCTGTTTGGGAGTAGGTTTATGTGGGTGAAGTGTTTGCTTTAGGATGCCCCTGGCTGGACACTCCTGTGTATCAGAATGAGGAGGTCCTTTCTGTATTTGTGTGTGTTTAAAGTCAGGCATCCAGCTACCTACCTTGCAAAGACTAAGAACATCCCTCTTTTAAAAATAATTAAATGCAGCCAGGTGTGGTGGCTCACGCCTGTAATCCTAGCTCTCTGGGAGGCCAAGGAAGGTTGGCTTGAGGTCAGGAGTTAGAAACCAGTCTCTACTAAAAATAGAAAGAAATCAGTTGACCAACTAAAACTATATATACAAAAAATTAGCCGGGCATGGTGGCACATGCCTGTAGTCCCAGCAACTCGGGTGGCTGAGGCAGGAGGATTGCTTGACCCCAGGAGTCTGAGGCTGCTGTGAGCTAGGCTGATGCCGCGGCACTCACTCTAGCCTGGGCAACAAAGCGAGACTCTGTCTCAAAAAAACAAAAATAAAATAAAATAAAAAGAATTGAATGTACCATGCCCCTGAGGAAAGTTCCTCCAGTTCTGAACCGTCAAGACTTTCTGCCAAGCTCTATGTTATGTAGTGTGGTAGGGTGAGGATTGGACTTTGTCTACATAGATTCTCAATTAGTCAGGTGTTCAGACTGACATCTCAACCCTGAATGACTTTGATAAACAAACAACAACAAAAAAAAGACAATAATGACATTCCTATTCTAGTATTATAGCTTCTCGGAATCCTGGCTTTCTGCTTCCTGTTTACAGCCCTGTCTTTTAGGCCTGTGAACTCCCGATCCTCTGACTTTGACCCTGATGCTAGCGAAGGACTTTGAAACTTCCCCGCTGTCTCTGATGTTGTTCTGAGTCCTGTGTCAACCCAGGCCCTGCCACTAGGAGGTGGGGGCAGGGGTGGCCCTGAGGCTTTGATTTCATTTCTACAGCCTTCCAAGTAGCTGGGACTACAGGTGTGTACCAGAGCACCCAGCTTGGATACAAGGCTTTTAAACCATTTCAACTGTATCCCCAAGAGCCAGCTCAGGCTGCTGCTGATTCTCCATGGTTACTTCTGCACGTTCAAGAACATACGTACTCTCATGGGAAGGAAATCTGTGCTCACATGACCCATCCCCTACCCTCACCCCCACCCCCACCCCCACCCCCATGTCTGCGCTGCCCTCAGCAAGCAAAGGTCCAGGCCTGACCACATGTATCTGTTAGGGATTCTGTTATCCCGGGCTGTGAGCTCCTGGAGAAAGGAGTTTGATCATATTTAGCTGTAACCCCTGAGCTTTCATAGCAAGGAGGATGGAGAAATTCCTGGATCCTGGAGCAGGAGCTCACAGTCTAGGGAGGGACTAAAGCAGGTAGCACTGGCCCCTGTGGAGGAGCGAGGGCGGCAAGCACATGGGGCAGAGCCTCCAGCATCACCTGCCTCTGAGCCCCTGCCTGGCCATTGTGGTGCCTGATGGGCCATTGTACAAGTTCAGGTGCTTTTCATGCAATAACAGAAACCAAGATCTGCTAACTGGCTAGCAAGAAAAAGGGAATGCCCACATGTCCATCAACAGATGGCTGGGTAAACAAAATGTGGTAGATGTGTACAATGGAATACTTTATTATTCGGTACTTAAGAATGTATTATTCAGCTTTAAGCAGTAGTGAAGTTCTGACACCTGCTACAATATGGATGGACCTTGAGGACATTATGCTAAATGAAATAAGCCAGTCATGAAGAAGAAATACTATGTGATTCCACTTCCATGAAACACCTAGAGCTGTCAAATTCATAATGAGATAAAGTAGAATGGTGGTTACTAGGGGATTGTGGAGGGGAGAATGGTGAGTTAGTTATTTAACAGGTAGAGTCTCAGTTTGGGATGATGAAAAAGGTCTGTAGATGAATAGTGGTGAGAGTTGCACAACAATGTGAATGTCCTCAATTGTACCCTTAAAAATGGTTAAAATGATAAATTTTACATTACGTTTACTTTAGCACACATGCACATGCACACACATGCACACCTGGGACTGACTTAAACCAACAAAAGTTATTGCTGAGGTGCTAAAATGCCACCGTGGCCCTTTAGGAATTTTTTTAAATTAATTGATTTATTTTTAAAATTTCAGAATATTATGGGGGTACAAACATTTTGGTTATATGTATTGCCTTTGCACTGCCCAAGCCAGAGCTACAAGCGTGCCCATCCCCCAGACAGTGCACTCTGCACCCATTAGTTAGGCATTTACCCATCTCCTTCTCCCCCCTCCCACCTGCCCAGCACCCAGTGAATATTACTTCCACGTTGCACCCAGGTGTTGATCACTTAGTACCAATTTGATGGTGAGTACATGTGGTGCTTGTTTTCCCAAGGAGTTGTTTTTTTTTTTTTTTTAAGGTGGGATGATGGGAAGGTTGCTGGGGCATATCATGGACCTGAAAGACTAGCCCCAAGCCTGGAGCGGGGACAGGAACTGAGGCAGTTCCAGGGACTTCAGGGTAGAAGTTCATAGACCTCTTCCCTTGGGATGCTGCCAGCAACTCGCTTCTCCTCTAGCAGCAACCAGTCTGTATCTCAGGTCCAAATTCAAACCTCTCCGAGAGCCTGGTTGGCCAGCTGGGTCGGGTGGCCGCCCTGGGTAGATTGGCCTGGGCAGGATTGTGTGTTAGCAACAGGGCCTTTGGGGGCAGTTATGGGTCAGTTTACTGAGTGGATAGTGTTCAGAATGATCACTTCACCACATGTATCGTCTTCTCTTAACTATCTAGCCTCAATCGCCTGATTTTTGTTTTGTCTTCACAATAGCATTCTGGGGCAGTGTTGAATGCAAGGGAGCTGGGTCAGCTGCCAGGGGCTGAGCTGGAGATCAAGGGGGAGATTGAATGTATACATCTGGCCTTGGTGCTATGTAAACCCTCTAGCCCCCAAACTTAATAAAATTCTCAAGGAATGGGGAGAAGCCCCTGAAAAAACTGAGATGAAGCCTCTTTTACCCTCGCAGAAAAAAGGCAGGAAGTTAGGAATGAAGTTGGCAATTGAGGAAGTTTTATTTATTGCGTGCTTGAGTTTTGGACCAGGGTTGGAATGGCTGGTGTGTTGGTGAGAGGGGAGGGGTTGAAAGCAGAGCAAGGAGAAGGACGTGAGAGAAGTTTTTCTGGGTATTAAGAACGTATCTCTGCCTGCCTCCCTTAACTTTGGCATTTCTTCCCAAGATTGAAAAAATATTCAAAATACATTTCCTTTATTTCAATCATTGGCCTGTTTCTCTGAATGTGGCTGTACTAGGTTCAGAGCACAAAGCTGCCCCTGTCTTCATAGGTTTGTTCCTTCCTTCCATGAGCTTGGGCTTCTGCTAAGGCCTGGTCCTCATGGGGAGCTTAGGAGCTGGGGTTGGCCTTTCCTTGATGTTGCAGTTTTAAGCCCCGAGTTTCTGGAGGGCAGCAAAGGTAGGTTGGGATCCTTGATATACTCTTGGACCCAGTCTTTGCTGGGGTTGCTGCAGACTTCTCGGTTCTTTTTGGTGATGAAGCTGCAGAGGCAGAATTAGACTGTCACGGGCTGCAGACTTGGGTGGGCCTCTAGTACACCACCCCCCAGCTCACGTGGTGCTTGTCTTATGTTCCCTATAGCTTCCCTAGGCCTCCCCGGGCTGGGTGCCTGCCCTCAGAAGACTTCTCCTTCCGGCCTCAAAATCTCATCATCCCTTCTCTCAGTCCCTTCCCCACCCAGCCCAGACCCTCTGGCTTGGGTTTCTTAATGGCTGTCATCTATCGGCCCACACAGCTGTAAGTGGCAAAAATCAAGAATAAAACCCAGGCCCCTGAGATCCAAAGCCCAAACCCTTAGCCATGATTCCACTGCTTCTAGCATGGAGACCTCTTGGTCCTGTGATCCCATCCTGCCCCTGGGGTCCTTGTCCCTCTCCACAGCAGTATCTGTAGGGAAGTGCTTACATGATTGCTGGCAGGTGACAGTTGAGGGCCTTTCGGTATCCTATAGTCAGTTTCCTTGGCAACACTCTCTCATGATACTTCAGGCAGCAGGCGGATGGTTGGTTCACTGACTCAGGAATTTCTAAAGGAATCACATTGCAGGCTGAGCCAGGAAGGCACAGAGGGGAGCCCATAGCTGCCCACCTCCATGTCCCATCAGTTGCATTTTGCTGCTCTGAGAGCAAAGCCATCTGTTAGCAGGGACTGATGAAAGCTTGATGGGTAACAGAGAAAGTGAAAAAGATAAACTTCTCTGGGGGTCACACATGTAGAACCTTCAGCCTCTGAACTGAGTGTCATCAGGACAAATGACTTGGTTATTTACATTTGCTGATAAACCAGGAGGGAGCCGCTTCACTTTTTTGTTCGTTCATGACTTGATCTGGGAAACATATATTGAGCTCGTGTTACATGCCAGGCCCTAGGGGAGTGAAAACATGAGGACAACACAGCCACTAGCTTTGAGTAGCTTACAGACTAGTCAGGGTAAAAAGGGAAAGTGAAAGATAAACAAATGCTACACTAGAGCATGATCCAGGATAGAATAGACTTTGGCACAAGGTGCTATGGGAACAGAATGAGGGCACCTAAGCCATCCTTGGTGCTTGAGGAAGATGTCCCAAAGCAAGGGGTGCCTGAGTTGGTTCTTGAAGAATGTGCAGGATTTAAACAGAAAAAATAGGAGTAGGATCTGGAAGAAAGAAATGTAGGAAGGCCTGAAGGTGGGGAAGCTCAAAGTGCTGAGCAGTTGGGGGTGGCTGGAATGCAAGGTGAGGGGGAAGGAGTGGGGAGAGAGGAACTGGAGAGAGAGGAAGGCCTGGGCACACAGCCACTGAGCTGTGGTGGAATTTGGACCATCCTAGAGGCACAGGATGAGACCAGAGAGGAAGAGAGAGGGTGGAGCCATGAGTGAGAGAAGTTAGGGCAGGAGCAAAAGGCATATGATTTAGGCCCCAGGGTCAGACAGCTTGGGTCAGAATCCTGACTTGATTTGAAGTTTGGTTTGAATTATGGGCAAATTTCTTTATCGATAAAGGTTTAAGTTTCCTCATCCATTAAATGGGGATACAAAGATATTTATAGGATCATGGTGAGAATTAGTTGAGAAAATGCTTGGAAAGACCTTAATGCAGAGCCTGGCACACAGAAAGACTCATTTAGTGCTTATTATATTTATTGTAATTAAAAGCAAGTGGTAATAATGACAACTCTTCTTGCCTTGGAAATGGCTCTTTCCCCCTCTTTCCCTTTGATGCTTGCAGGTGCTGGACTCGATTGGTTATTGCTGTGTTTCCCTTGAGCTCTCTTGAGTACCCACCAGTTGGGTAGACCTCCCTGAGTCCCCAAACCTGCAGAGTGCAAATCCCTTTGTAGCCTGACCCTCACCTCCAGCTATTGGCAAAGCTCAAGACATCTTGAGAGCACCGTCTGTCTGACCCATGATTTGTGTGGGCCATTTTCTCTTCCCTGCAGTCTGAACCCCCTGCACTGGCCTGACAGAACTTCTGGAAAACCATTGTTGCCCCCTCCACCCACCAGACTCACACAGTTCCTCCATAAGTGGCCCTACACACAGTCCCCTCTGCAAGTGACATTCATGTCCCGGGTTCTCAAAGCAGAGTTTACACAGATCAGGGCCATCCTGACAGTGTGTGGCAGATGACCAGGTGCACTTGACCCCTGCTCCCCGGTGTTTACATAGGCGGCCAGGGCAGACTGCATGCACAGGGCAGCCTTAAGGGAGAAAAGAGGGGAAGCCTCAGGTGGGTATGTGGACAGGCTGAGTGTCTTTGTCCCTCCCCTGTCACCAGGTCCTCATAAACTATGGTGGAGGCAGAGGATACAGAGTGGGCAAAACAAGTCCTCTGCTCCGGAGGTCCCACCCTCCTCTCTCCCCACAGCTGCAAACCCTTTCATCCCCTTCCTTCTTTCCTGCAGATTTTATTCTTAGGCTGGGGGATGGAGGAGGGGCTTTCTTGGCCATCCCACTGGGACTCATTCTGGTTGTCTGACAGTCCCAGCAATCCACGCCAGCCACTGTGAGGAAGGGGTGTCTAGGCTCACACTCCCCGTTCCTGGGCTTGGTCCCAGTGGTGGCTGCAACCTGCCTCTCCCAACTCATTCTCCCAACGCATCTGCTGCTTTTCTCGTCCACTCGCCTCCCCCTCCCATCATTATATACATTTGTTATTGCCTTTTCTGCTACTTCCTCCGCTCCTCCTCCTAAGCGATCATCCCTGGTCTCCATCCTTGGGACTCCTGGGGAAACTTGTCCCTGGGGAAACTGCCAACCCCAGGAGGATCTGGACCAAGCCCAGCTCTACTTACAAAGGGGAGCATTGGAGGCCAGCAGCTATGCATGAAGAAGGCGGGGGAGCCCCCCAGGGATGGTGGGGCTGGAGACCTGACAATACTCTTGGTGTCACCTCCCTGCCAACTGCCCGGTTCCCCTTTCTCACTCCTGCTCTACAGGGACAAGTGGACTCACTTGGCTGGCTGTAAAAAGCAGCAGTAGTGGTGAGGATGATGTTGAGGAGAAAGAAGGCAGCCACAGAGACCTTCATCCTCTCAGTGGGGCAGCACAGCTTCAGGGGAACAGCCGAGCAGAAATGTCCTTGCAGCTGGTCGTCCACTCTCTGACTGCTCAGCTCTCTGGACTCTGACCAGTCAGAGCCGGTGGAGGAGGAGAAGCAATGGGCCTCGGTGTTTGCTAAAAGGGAGGGCGGTGGAGGACGCAGCCTGGTGCAGAGTTGAATTCAGTAAGGTCGAATTCATGAGAAGGAGTGAGATGGAGAAGCAGTGGTGAAATGTATTCTGGGTCAGCCACCTTGCATGCCCTGTCTTACTTAATCCTTCTGGTTGTGAAGTAGCAGTTCTTACTCCACTGCGGCCACTGAGGCTTAGAGAGGTTAAATAAATTGTTCAAGGTCACAGGGGTGGAAGGTGGATAGCAGTACTGGAAACCAGATCAGTTTGATTTTATTGGTTACCTGCCACTATCTCTGTGTTGGGGAAGGGAGAGGGAGGGTTGAGTTGCCCATTGCTCCCAGGTGATCCGTGGTGGGGAGGGTGAGCATCAAGCAGGATTAGAGAGAGCACAGAGTGAGGCAGGGGTGGGGTTTACTGGCCTCTGAGAGGGATGGTCCCCATAACCAGTCCACGGATACATGATTGAACTCCTACTCTTTCATGTCTCAGATTATGCTACTAGTATTCTGAAAAAAAACAATGCGTATAATCCTTGGGTCTACATTTGTTACTGAAGTGTCTGAATTATTTTTCAATGTTTTTATTTATCTCCTTGGACCTTGGACTTTGGACCGATTTTTAGGTATAGCTGGCTGGTGCTTCCTGGGTGCCCGCAGGGCCGGCCATGACCAGCAGAGGGCGCTCCAGCCCTGTGCGCCTGACAACCCGCTGCAAGGTCCGGGGTTCTAGCTTCTGCCCTGCCCGGTGGCCTGGGCTCTGGCCGCGCCTGCCCCACAGCATCACCTCTCCTCAGACTGCCTCAGGAGGAGAGATGGAGCACACAGGGGATTTTGCCATGGATGGGCTGTGAACTTTAGAGGCATAGGGGCATGTTTCAGGAGTTGAGAGGAGTGGGAGGCGGGGCAGAAGGGGGAATGTGCAGATCCTCAGGGGGCTTGCCGCTTGGCGTGGCTGCTCACAGACAGGCAGACCACAGAATGCAGTTAGTCCTGGTGGGTTCAGGGCAGTCGGTGGCACTGGAGCCTTGGGCCACAAGCCCTTGTCTGTGGGAGGCGGGAGGCCAGGGGAGCGTGGTCTAGTCCCTGCGCTGGGGCAGGCTCTTACTCCAAGCACACCGAGGTCCTCCTTTAGCCCTGAAGATGGTTTGAGAGCCTATTCTTGTAGCACAGGCCTCCTCTCTATTCCTGTCTCATTCCATGTGTCCCTCCCTCTCTCCATCCACCCATCCATCCTTTTCCTGGGCCTGGCTTTCTCCTAGGCCTTGTGTGGGTATGAAGATATGAAGATGAGTACATGAGTAAAAACAATGTAGTACAACCTGGTGTATGTAAGTGGAGGGGAGGAGGGATTGGATAAAAATGTGTCCATGAGTCATTCCTATCCCAGACAGCACAGAAAAGGGCTATGGAGTTTGACTGCTATGGACAGGCCTTTATGAAGTTGTACCTGTAGAGTCAGGTGACGATTCTCAGCTTTTACACTTACTGTGAGGCTTAAATAAGAGAATGCATATAGACTGCATAGCAGAGTGGTGGAATGTCAAAAGCACTAAGAAAATGGCATCGGCTGTTGTTGTTTTGTGGAGGAAGTGGCCTTCACACTGCGTTTCTTTCTCGCCGTCTGCTTCTCACTACCCCTGTCGCAGGCCTGACCCATTTTTCGCACCAGGCTCTGGCAAAACTTCTGCAGAGTAAAGCTTGATGCTGAGGGTGCCACACCCAGGCTGGGCTCACTGGCGTCCTCAGGCCATAGCCAGTGAGTGAATTCAGGAGAAATGAACGAGGACGGTGGAGGGCATGAATGTTTTTAATTCAAGGCAGGGCAGCACAGGGGGTGACTGGGGCTGCGAGCCGGGGCCAGGAGAAGGGCCTCGGCCTCTTCTCTATCTATCTCTGAGCTGCGCGTTCTCCACTACCTCCGGGTCACTCAGTTCTCCTCCATGTCCTTGATGTAGTCCTGGACCCAGTCGTCACTGGGGTTGCTACAGATGTAATGGCCCTTTTTGGTGATGAAGCTGTGGAGCAAGAGGGAGAAGGATCACAAACCGAGGGGACCAGCACCTGAAAGGGACAGCCCGTCCTCCCTCCCTTGCCAATGCCCTGCCTGACCTCGACTGCTTCTCCTTCCTTTGCTAGAGGCAGCCCAGGACCGGCCTCCTCTCTCAGACATGCTGTTCAGCCCCTACGACCCACAGACCCATCTAGTCTCTGTGAACCCCCAGGGAAGTGCCCTCTTGCCTTCTTCTCCCTTCTCTGAACACCTCCCCATGTGTGGGGCCAGCTTTCCCATGGCTCCTGCAGGCTCCAGCCAGAAAGCCCCTAGATTGCCCCTTGGCTGCCTCTCCCTGCCTAGGCACACCTGGAAGGTGCCCTGGGGGTCCCCACTCCACATCCTCTCTGCCCTCAGCATCCTCCCTGCCTTCTCTCCAAGACCCTGCTGGCTCCCTCCCCCCAGTGGTGTGTGGGTGCCACCTACACAATCCCAGGCTTGGAGCACTGGCTGCTGGTCTCATAATAATCCGCGATGCGGTAGCGCGGGAGCTCGTGGGTAATGTAGGTGAAGCAGCACTCGGCGGGGTGGTACGGTCCTCCTGAGGGAACAGCACGGGGAGACGCTGAGGTGATACTGATGGCTGCTTCTGGAGCCCAAGGGGGTGTAAGGAGGAGATGGCCCCGCAGAGCTCAGACAGAGGCTCTGGAGAAGCTCCGTCCTCTCTTCCCACCCCGTAGCAGTCCTCAGGCTCCTCTCTCCCTCCTTCATCAGCAGTCACCAGCCTCCTTTTTTCAGCCCCTCCTGGAGAAACTGGCTGATGACTTTCAGCTGAGCTGAAGAGCAGCAAACCTAGGTCTTCTCGGTGGGCATGCCACCTCTGGGGGCTGACTTGCAGAGAGGGCTGATAACTTGGCCAGCGTCACACAACCTGCACGCCCTATTCTGGAAGGATGCTCCAAATGGGAGAAATCCCAACAGGGATTAGCAGACATGCCATGTGGGAATGCAGAGCCAGCCTCTCCTAGACCCCATCCTGCCCGTATCCCCATTGAACACTGCCTGCAGAGAGGGATGGTTGCCCACACCAAGCCCCAAGGACGATGGCTGCAGGGTCGGGACACCCAAATCCTAACCCAGCCTTGCCTTTGCTTTCTTCCTGCTGTGACCTTTGTGCATTTCCTCTCTGTTTCCTCCTCTATAAATGAGGCCTTTGGACTTTGGCTTTTACACTGAGCTCCCTGGGTCTTGGGGGGCTTCAGGGACTCTCTAGAAGGTGCTGCTGCATTTGAAAACGGTGTCTTGTGGATTGCACCCCATTCAACTCTTGTTTCAGTTTTACCTATTGGGCCTCTGTGGGAAATTTTGCTTGAAGAAAAGGTTTCATTGTGTAAAACATTTTGAAAATCACTGGATTAGGTGATATTTCAGTTTTTTTCTGATTGTGAAATTTCACGGCTCTCACAGGAGGAGCAATTGCAATCATGGAGGTAGCAGGAAAGGCATTGCAGGCCGAGGGCCCTGTGCAAACGAGCACATGCTATGGCCACGGAGTAGAGAAAGCAAGCGCGTGCAAATGTGTGACCAGGCTGGACAGAAACAAGGGTGCGCATGGCGATGGCCTCGGCAGTCACTGGGGGTGACCAGACGCTTGTGTGGAGTGGGGATGGCCTGGTCCTGTTGCCCAGCACATTCCAGGCAGCGTCCTCACTATCCGAGGAATGCAATAAGGGATCCCTGGACCCTGAGACCCACTCGGGGCTCTGACTCTCCCACCTTATTCCTTGGACAATGACGTCAGAGAGGCAAATCGAATTGCCCAGACATCTGTTAACTTTAGACTAACTTCATTTCAACAACTGTCTATGTTTCCCTCCAGATTCTGAAAAGGAAACGAGGTAGATGGAAGGGTGAGAAATAGTTTTGGCTCTCTGTAAAGGCAGGTCCTCCTAAGAAACAAGCTGAGGAAAGGTGGCCTGGGAGGGACCCTGGGAGGTGGCCTAGTGTTTCCCCCTGGCCCAGACCCAAGCAGTGCTGTGCCAATAGGGCACGAGTGATGTGGGGAGCAGATGGGCCCACATCTCAGGAGGCCAATAGACAAGGTGGCCTTGAGGGGCTCTGAACACTGCTCCTCAAGCTCCCCGGGATGATATCCCCCCAGTGGGTGGGCCACTCTTTTGCCTCACAGCAACGGGAAACGGATTGAGGGAGTGGAGAGGCAGGCTGGCCTCACTCCGTGACCTGGAGGGGAAGGGGCTCTGGTCCAGGGAAGTGTGGGGATGAAATCAGTTGGAGAAGCCCCCCAAGCTGCTGCTCAAGCCCTCCTCCTCGTGTCCCTGCCACCTTCCTCCTGCTCTTTCCCCACAGGGCCTGGGTTGGAGGGAAGACAGGTGCCGCACTCACGTGAGGAGGATTTAGCTCTGGCCCCCGGGGCGGTGGTGCAGAGGAAGAGGAGGAGGAAGGAGATGGCAGTCACGGAGACCTTCATCCTGTGGGGAGCCGCTGCAGGAGCAGATCTGTCCTGTGGGGTCTTCTGAGGCTCCTGGGGTGAGGAAGGGTTGAGGAATGATCATTGAGGCCAAATGTTTTTGAAAATAAGGGAACTAAGATTTGGCAGGGAAGTGGAAAAGCAGAGATGCCTCAGCGATTTCACATCCTGCACATTTGTTGGGGGTGTCATGAAGGAAGCACCAGGAGACCCAGGGAGGACATTGCCTCCCATCCCCAGGGGAATAAGTTTAACTCCTTTACGTAAGCCCTTCCTTAGGCACTGGGCTGGGGCACTGCCTCCGACTTAGCAAAACATCTCATGGCCCATGTGTCCTGTGCCCACTTCCAGTGCCAGGTCTCAGAACAAGGCCGAGTGGGGCCTGGAGGTTTAGGATCTGTTCATCTGGAGATCGGGGTGCATTTGAGGTAGTAGGATGAGGTCTGCAGTCCCCCAAGTCTTATGCATCAGGGCTGGGGAATCCTCACTTAAACTCATTAGCAGAACCTGCCGTTCCCAGCCTCACCCCCAACCTCACCCCTCGCCATGGCGTGGGGTGAAGAAGTGCTCTGATTCTCAGCAGAGAATTCATTTATACAGTG